ATTAAAGGTATTCAGGTTCTCTGCTGTTCTTGTAAATTTAGTATAAGTCTAAGATTTCAAAATAAAACGAAAAAGAAAAAAAGGCCCCAAAGAATCTAGTGGAAAAGACTGACAATATCTTTGTAGAGACAATTTCCACAAAGACATAGAAACTATTAAAAAATAACCACAAAGAAATGCCAGAACTAAAAAATACCAATTGCTGGGTCTTACACATCAGAAATCCTGATGTAATTGGTCTGAGGCTGAGTACAGGCAGTTGGAGCAAAGCGTGTGTGTAATTTCCCAAGTAATTCTAATTATAGCCAAGGTTGGGAACTATTGGGCTAGCCTAATCAAGTGAGCATTAAAATATAAAGAAACCATATAGGGTGTTGTGGGTCCCTAAGACTACCCTAATATTTGGAGTTTCCCTAGAAGAATTCATGGGGATCGTTTAGTTTGAATCACAGCTAAGATTCCTTCCAGCAACATAGTAAGGATATACAGCCAGACTGTAAGAGAAAAAGCCATGGTGGAGTCCTGAGAAACCAATATGCAGGCTTCCTTATGCTTTCTCCCTCCTGCGAGGGGCCACCCAGGAGCATGCTTCTTTCTCCAGCAACAAGCAGCTGCTGATTTTGCCCAGGGAGGCCCATTAGATAAGCCAAGGTTCTCATCAGAAACGCCCAAAGTTTTTACGGGGAACTGGTCACATAAGCACCCTCTGCCTAACATATACCCAGTTCAGACTCCCAGAAGGAAAGCAGGTGTTCAGTGTAAAACCACATTGTGTATAGGCACAGGGAGTCACTCTTCTTAGTTAGGAAAAGTTGAAATCATTGTAAGGAACTGTGTACCAGTCAAATTCTCTGACGCCAGGCAAGGGACAACCCCAGTTCTCATGGTAACTCCGTGGGGTGGATATTATCTTACTTAACAGCTGATGGAATTTGAAGCTTAGAGATTTTTCTTTTACCCCAAGAGATAATTTACCCCAACATCACAGCCAGAATATAATTATCCAAACCCACAGTTCAGTTCTGATACTTTCTGTTCTGAATCCTTGTTTTTTTTCATTGAAGTTAGAGATAGATAATAGTTTTCCCTCTCTTTACCATAGAGCATTTTTGAGCAAAAGAGATGATGTCTTCACAAATACCTAGAAAGATATTATGCAAATCCTACTTCTTCCATTGTTATCATCAATGTAGGTAGTTTTAACCAAAAGAAGGGCCTCGGGTATATCAATAAATATGACATTTGAGCCATCAGCTTTAGGGGTTTCCTGAATCTCTTTTCTACATAACAGCAGTATATGAAAGTATACAATTTCCAAACTATTGTTAGTTTGCCTTTTATTTTAAATATAAGTATCTGGGTATTTGCTTTTCATACATTTGTTTCCTCTCATTCCTGGACCATGTGAAATTTTTTGTAAGCAGTTACACGATTCAGAGCTGCTGACAATTAACCAACTTCTACAAAACATGTGCTTCTACCACCTCTCTGGTAGTTCTATTTCAATAACCATTAAACTCGATTTTACTACCAAGATTCCTACATGTATGTCAGCACCTGGAAACCAAAAGGTGAAAGAAAAGGCCTATTCTATTCTCTACTGGAACACATCCTCCCTTTGTACCATGCCCCAGAAGGCACCCATGGTCTCTCCCTGGATCCGAGAGCAGGACTTGGCTGGTTGATCCAGAGAGGAGGCTGCTGTAAAAACTTCAAAGAGGAGCCATCCTTGTGGTCCTGTTCTTGTGGTAGAATCATCTCTCATGGGACAAGCCATGGCTGCTGCAAAATTGATGTTGATGGAAGCAAAGATGCTGATTTAGAATTTCCGCTAAATGATAGCCTTAATAAAGAATCTAAGTTTCTAGAATATGAGTCGGCAAACTTACTGCAAAGGGCCAGATAGTAAATACATTAGATTTTGCAGGCCATATGGTGTCTGTCTCCATGACTCAGCTCTGCTGTTGCAAGTAGCCTTAAACAATACGCAAACACATGGGCATGGCTGTGTTTTAATAAAACTTTATTCACAACAACAGGCAGCCAGTTGGATTTGATTTACAGGTTCCAATTTGCCAGCACCTGTTCATTAGCAGACTTTGCTATCTGTGTGCTTTCCTCTAATTTAAGATATCCAGGGAATTGTTAACTTCTTTATCCGTAATGTACCTAATTATTCCTTCCTAGAGCATAAGCACAGTCTCCATATACAAATACGGGAAGTGGCATGAGATTGGTTTACATACTTAATTTTCTTTATAATGGACATCAGTACTCATCATTCTTAAATACAGAAATGCGGATAGAGCCTGTGTGTATTAATCAACAGCACAAGAACCACTGTATCTGTCACACTTCCACATCCTACATGGAGAACAGCTGGCATCTGATTGCTTTTGCAAAATGCATTCAGATACAATGATGAAGAACTATCTCCAGATCCCTATATACTATACTACATCTGGAAAAAAAAAACTAGATTGTAGAATCACCAGAAATCATATTGGCCCACCATGCAGAAATTCTTGGAAGACCAAATTTTACAAATACAAGTAAAATCTAAGTAAGGCATTCTGGTTCACAGTAGCTTTTTTCTTAAATGCAGTCTGAATTTCAAAATGTAGCTTAGCTTATTCAGTGATTGATTTGCACAAAATATGAGTGCCATAAAACATGATTTGAATTTTAACTATAGATGTCTTGGGTATTCTCCCTTTGCATTAAAACCACGGCCGGTTGTATCATATAGTAATTACAACCAGTAGATGGCATCTAACAGCTAGAATAATATTTTGGAACTATTTTTAACATCAGACTTGCTGATTTATGAGGGTTCACCCTCTGATGTTATTTATATTAGGTCATTTTAATTTTTAGCCTTAATCATCACAGTTGAATTTTTAAAATTCCATCCAATAAATTCATATAAAGGGTTACAAAAGGAAGAAAAGCCCCCTCAATTTCAACTGGATAGTTCTATTGCACTTCCACATAATAAACAGATTAATGTTCTGAATTTAAAAAATTGATATCACTTGAAGACATTAAACGTTGAACACAGGCATTTCAAATATAGTTGGCTCTGTATGATTGAATAAAGCTGAGTTGCTAATTGCTGGACCAGGACCAAATAATATATAATGAGTGTAACACCAAACACCATCCAACTTGAACAAATTCAATGAGTCAATTGAGTTTAAAAGTTTCACAAATAATTAAATTACTGAATAGGATAGACCAGAAGGAGAAAACCAAATGATTTAATTCGGTTCCTTAGAGCTCAATTTGCTTTTTAGCTGACTGTATTTAGCTATCTGCAATTGCAACAAACTAATGCCATTAAAAACCCATCTATTTTCTTATGCAACCTCAACAAAACATCAGTGGGTTTCACCACTTATAGATAATAGACTTTTTAAAAGGAGGTAAAATCTGCCAATATCAACTCTTTCTTTTCCCTGCAATGCTCATCCAAGCCAGCATTTTAGATTATAAATAATCTGAGGTCAAGAATAAAAAGAATGCTTCTTTATGTTGTCTAGGTTGTGATCTACATATTTTGGTGTCTCAGTTAGATGGACAACATAAATAAAATAGCATTCTTGGAAATATGAAGGACAGAGGTCTGTGGGGGGAAAAGAATCATCTAATCAGAGACTTGTTTCTTACTTTAATCACGAGCCATAAAAACAGCCAAATCCCATGTCATGCTGCGGTAAAGGTTACATCAGCACTTCATACAATATTTATAGTGTAAAAGAAGCCCTGCAGTCCGACTCCAATATGACATTAATCTTCCTGCTCTCTTCATCCCTCATTCCATCCTCCCGCCTCACTCCCACCCCCCCTTCCCTCAGCTAAATGTGCCAGTTGGTGCCGCTCATATAGTGGAGATAACTGATAAGAGAGCACTGATATAACAAGAAATCTAGACCACAAAACGAACAGAGAAATAGATCCAATCCTAGGGAAGTTGCATTATACCTTTTAAGGAAGGGGGGGTCAACCACTTAAGTTTGCCCTAGTTCGAGGGGATTCCTGGATGTAGGACTTCCAGTGCTAGTGCCAACAATGTCTTATATAAACCAGAAAAAGTTTGCGACCTAATGTTTAAGAGGCTTATGGTTTCAGAATGTGAAGGCATCATTCAAAATTATTTATCACACCTTAGTCGTATAAGAAATCACCAAAACCAAGACATGGTCCTGGGCTGTACTACTTAAAGCCTGCTGCTACTGAGACAAAGGTCAGGGTTTAATTTCCACAAGAGCCAGACAGCTTTTCTATGATCCCAGACTTCTTCGTTACACCCAACCATCTAGGCTCATGGATTTAGGGAGGGTAAGACAGGGCTTTAGAGAGCTAACAATTCAAGGAACTAAATAGCTACATTGGGAACAGCATCTAAAATCAGAGCTTACTGGCAGTCTTTTCCTATGGTATTGCCTATTCTGTAATACTCATTGAAAACTTATTTATACTCAAAAGAATGCATCAGAGCAGCTGAAAAGCCATGCAGCCATAAGGATTCAATCAACCTAATTACCGTTCTTCTCCATGAAGCTGCTCTGGATAACTTGAGGACCATTAGGTGGGATTAGAAAGCTTTGCTGCCTGGAAGTCTATGCTCATTTTTTGAAAAGCTGTCTCCCTGACTTCTGGTAAACAAGTGATGAAGAAAGCTACTGCAATGGGATGCAGGCTATATCATCACCTTTACTGCAACAAGCTAGGGAATGGCAACATATGATCTAGCAATTGAATAGCCGAGGTTATTAAAAGGCCCTCTTGGTAATTGCACGCTGAAAACTCAAAACCAGCCTTGTTCCATTTAGTACAAACCATGTCACAGAAAATGACTTTGTTATAACAGAATCCCTTCTGATAACATCTGCTCACATTAGGCCAGGTAGAGAAAGAAGAGTGAAGATTTCCCCCTTTTGCCTGTACTCCACTCTGGTTATTCCATTTCCCCATTCATGTCTTACAAGCCCCCTCACCTCTCATCCACATTCGTCTTCCCTGAGATCAGCACCAGCTCAGAGACCTCTGCTCACTAGAGTCTTGTTGCTTTTTAGCAACCCTTCTTCTGAGGGGACCTGGAGCATCTCGGTATTCTTCTTTGGAAACTGGATTTGTGGAAAAGCGTGGCCAGCCCTGCCCTGTATGTGTGCGGCGTGCGCGCTTGTGCACAGAGGCCTCTGCCAGGAGAAGTGGCAGATTGGCTGTGTAGGCAGCAGTTTCATGGAACCCAGAAATAAGTTCTGCAGTATATGCAAATGTAAGCAATGGGGGCAGCAGAACGGGCCTCTAGGTTCAAAAATGGCAATTCTCTTCAAGAGGCCAGGCTTTTTCAAAAGAGGACCACTAAAAGTTATTCTTATGAAAAATGGCTCCTCTGAATGAATCTCAAGTTTCTACTAGTAGGTCATTGGTGACTTCTTCTTCTTTTTTTTTTTTTTTTGAGGCGGAGTCTTGCTCTGTCACCCAGGCTGGAGTGCAGTGGCACTATCTCGGCTCACTGCAAGCTCCGCCTCCCGGGTTCACGCCATTCTCCTGCCTCAGCCTCCCGAGTAGCTGGGACTACAGGCGCCTGCCACCACGCCCGGCTAATTTTTTTGTATTTTTAGTAGAGATGGGGTTTCACCGTGTTAGCCAAGATGGTCTTGATCTCCTGACCTCGTGATCCACCCATCTCGGCCTCCCAAAGTGCTGGGATTACAGGCTTGAGCCACCGCGCCCGGCCTGGTGACTTCTTAAAAAGCCGTAAGTAGCTTACAAAAATATGTTATCCTGGAAAGGTAATGATTAGCGATGTATTACACGTAGTTATTCCAGAGTTCAAGAGAGAGTAAGAACAGATGGATACATTTTGACTCCAGGTCCCTATGAATAGGTATTTGAAAACCGTCCCAGGGAACCGACTGCTAGGAGTTGGGGGATAAGGGTTACAGGTAGACTACCTGACAATCTTATCAAAGGCCAATAGCACCTCCTCTCTTTTGCCTTCTTTTCCTAGGAAGGGAAAAGGTGAAAAAGACTCACACCTAGTACAGCCTTACCAGCCATGGTGCCACAGGGATTTCAAACAAAATGTCCCCATCAAAGAGAGAAACAAACTGTTTTTCCTTCTCTACTTTCACATAATACGTTCAACACTTCGACAATTCAATTCTCGGGCAGACACCAACTGGGTATCCTACAATTTAACAGAATTCCGACACAATGTGCCTGGAAATAGTATCAGATCCTCCAGGTTCAGGGATTTGTCTCGCAGGACTAACTCCACTCAGACACCAGTCACAGGTCCAGGTGGTTACCTGTGCTTCTGATAGACCAGCTATAAATGGGGGCCCCCGTGACTTCCTCCTCGGGTTGGATAACTTGTAACGGCTCACAGAACTCAGGAAAACAGTTTGCTGACTAGATTCCAGATTTTTTATAAAAAGGAACACAACTTAGGAGCAGCCAAATGGAAGAAATGTATAGGGCAAGATATGGGAGATGGAGCAGTGAGCGTCCACGTCCTCTGTGCGGAGTACCCTCCCAGCACCTCCACGTGTTCATCAGCCCCGAAGCTCTCCAAACCTTATTGTTTGGAATTTTTAAAAGATGATTTATTATATAGGCATGACTGATTAAATTATTGGCCACTGGTGATTAGGTCACTCTCCAGCCCCTCTCCCCTCCCCAGAGGTTGATGAGTGGGGCTGCCAATCCTGGGCCTTTAATCCTGTGGTTCGTTTCCCCTGGCAACCAGCCCCCATCCTTACGGGCTTTCCAAATGTTATCTGATCAACCTAAGCTCAGGTGTAGATGAACGGGGCTTGTTATGAATAACAAAAGATGCTCTTTTCACCTTTATCACTCTTATCACTTAGGAAATTAAAAGGGTTTTAGGAGTTCTAGGCAGAAACCTGGGAAAGAGGACCAAATACATACTTTGGATTATATCCTAATACCACAGCATCATGTATCTGAATCAATTTAGCTCTAGCCCTTGGAAAGCAAGGGAGGTGTTTGAGAGTAGCTAAATATTATAAGTCATTTTTAATGAAGATAGGCCTTAATATAGATTTGGATACCTGGAAAGAAAATATTTGCAGCCCAGTAATTTAAAAACCAATATGTGAGCCTTTTCTTTCTTCCTTTTTTAATTAGAAATGAGGGATTGTCATTCACTTTTTCTAGAGGATAAATCATTTTATGAAAAAGGCATAGTGAAATGATTAAGAATAGAGGCTCTGTAGTTGGACTACCTGGGTTCAGATCCTAGTTCTGCCAGTTTAGTGTATGGAACTCAAAGCTATTTTCAATTTAATTGGTAAGTTAAAGATACTGGAGTTTCCTACAACAAACCGTGCTTGAAGTGTGAATAAATACATGACTAGAATTATAATTGGCACATAGCAAATTCTTGTTATTTGTTATAATTGTCCTTATTGAAATCATCACCCTTTGTGAATTTGGGTAGAGGTTTTCACTAAGATAGTAGAAGAAAGGAATTTTACTTTTTCCTGGAGGAAGGAAAAAATGATGCAGCAGTGATTTTTAATTGTATGTTAATACAATATCCTGACTAGGAAAAAGTGTTCAGTAAATGGTTGTTATACAAATCACTGGCTGTATTTGTTGCTTCTGTGACAACCCATTCGGATTTTTCTGGGATCATTTTATAATATTTAACACATTCTGGTTCTATATTGCTATAAACTTCTGGAATATCTCAGATATTCCAAACTTATGGCCTTTTCATGCAAAGGGAACTTAAAATTCCTCTAAGTTCTTGCTTTCTGATTTTAGTTTGAAAATATAATATGGCCACCTCAGTACACTTTCCACTGTACTCCTGGGCTCTTGCCAGTTTCTTTCTGGGTCACACAATTCCAGCTCATACTGATAACACAACTGTGCTTATGTATTACTTATTTGATTCTTTACAAGTTCAAGTCTATTTCAAGGCTATTCAAGAGAATGTTGGACCTTTGTCAAGAAGTTTACAGAACTAAAACAAACCTCAGTAGAACATTCACAAAAGCAAAGGAATTATTTCAAATGAGACTACGATGTGTTCATAAGGAGATTATTCTATTCTGTATTCAAGACCCAGCTCAAATATTACCTACTTTGTTAGTCTTTCTCAAATTTCCCAATCATGTTTGTTCCCATATTTGAAGTTGGCTGTACTCTCGTCACACTTTCATTACGGCACTTGTCATATTGTAGCTTATCTATTTGCAAGTTGCCATCCAAAAGACAACCAGGATGGCTGAATAGTAGAAAGGAGAGCTTTGCTGGAGATACCGGTTTGCAAGCTGGGAAGAGAAAGCCTCCATCTTGGACTGAAGAGGGAAAGAGCAGGTTTTAAGTCTCACAGGGCCGGTGTCATACATATTCAGCAGGTTTGGTGGGAAATAATACATATTTATGAGGGGAGTGAATGCATGCACAATGGGTAAACATATATGTAACCTATTCTGCCATGTTCAATTTGGGGTGGAGTTTTAGCTCTAAAATGAGGTAGAATTTGGCTCACTATGTCAAAAGGTGAACTACAGGCCACAAAGACAGCTTGTGTGCAGTCTCTATCCACTGGCCAAAACTTGAAGTCTGTAATAGCTTATCAGAAAAGAGTGTTTGTAAGACCAGTCCCCTGTCCAATCAGAGTTGCAGTGGTCTGGGTTGTAAATCAGCCTGATAAATCTTTTTGGTAGGGGGTTAAGGAAGAGTGGGGTTTTTCTTATAGTTGTAGGAATTTAGAAATCTGCCATGCCATGCCATCCAGGCCCTGAACCCTTGACCCATAGGTAACTGTTTCCTTAACCATAGGGTCTTCGTTGATATAGTCTTTCACATCACAAAGTCTAACCCCTTCCCTCTTCCAGTGTAGGGATTTCTGTGGGTAGTCTCAGCCACTAGTACAGTATATAGCACAGAGTGGGTGTCCTCAAGATGCTTATTAAATATGGTGGTGCTAACCATCATCAGGTTCATCTCTCCTCCATTGTACACAGAGGACCATGATTCCTAGATCACTTGCAACCAGGACCCACATGAGTTCTTTCCACTGGGATGAGAGCAGAAGTGATGAGTGTCACTTTAGGTTGACACCCTAGAGAGTGTGAGATCCCAAAACTGTGGCAAACACTGAAGTGACACATAAAGGTAGCAGTGCTTCCAGTAGCCTAGGTTCCAGAGTAACCCAGGCTCAGAGCTCCTTGCTGCTCATCTTGGAGGTGATTAAAAAGGTAAACCTTTATGGTTTAGCCACTGAGATTCGAGGGTCTTTGTTAACACAGCATATCCTATCCTATCCTGACTAATACATAATGGATGACAAAGAGTTTGACTTTTTTCAGATTCAGACATCAGACTGGAAGCATCTTAGCATCATGGGAAAAACACTCTATCAGGAGTCAGAAAATAAAATGTGTGCAAGCATGCACATGCACTTGTATTTTAGTCATGGAAAAAGTCCTGGCATTTTTACTTCCTCAGGGTTAAAACTAGGGTGCTGAACTGGAATGATTCTAAGTCCCATATACTATAATCCCATGAATTTGATGAAATTAATTTCAAGGTTAAATGCTCAAATTTAAGACATCATTGATCATGAGCTATAAGTCAGAAAAGGTCACTGGTCACTACAAATCCAGGGTAGAATCTCATTTATAGTTCCTTAGCAAGAACACTTCCCTTTATCACCTGCTTCCAGAAGAAAATGGTTTCTATACAGTTATACAGCATATCTGCCTATCTAAATCATCTTGAATCACTGTGTGATTCAAGACAGATTTTTGTCGGCTACCCTCAACCGTCTAGGCAAATTGGCATTATAGAAATAGGAGCTCATAAGCTTAGCCTGCATAGTGTAAACCATCCCAAGGGAAATATCAGCTATTTGGAAGAATGAGACTGTAGGTTTAACTAAATGGCCAGGTCCAATCTGGCTGGCTGGCTGTCAGGCAGGTGGCTTTGAAATAATGCAGACAAATTGGTGAGTTCATGGTTGATGTTCAGGCCCATTAAGTGCAACTGGACTCTGCCCCATTGTTCTCTGATGATATGGGTTGGCTCTGTATCCCCATCCAAATTTCATCTCAAATTGTAATTCCCATGTGTCAAGGGAGGGACCTAGTGGGAGGTGACTGGATCATGGGGATGGTTCCCCCAT